ATTAAGAAATATAATATCGAAATTAAGATTCTAGAGCCGTTAGAAGCTTTTCTAATATAATAAAAAAAATCGATATTATTTTTAACATTCTATGACCCACATACACAATGTTTCAGTGGGGGATCGGACCTTTGGTCCTCAAACCCCCACTTTCACATTGTGTTAGCTGCTCATAAGGAATTTGAGAATCATAAAATCTCATTTATTACCTATCTAGATCAATCCTACCTACAGTGTCATCTAGATTATGAAACTCAATTAGAAAAACCACCATCTTTTGATAATTTTTGGTTTCTGTGGATTGCATCTAAATATAACGTTGTATCATACACTACCTTTACTGTAGCATATTTTATAAGGGCTCAAGAGAGTGAGACTAGCTTTTTGAAAAGAGACTACTTATTGAAATATTTGTTGAGGAAAATTATTACTACAATTAGATATAGGGACAACATACTAAAGGAATCCTTTGATAGCATCGCTGATAAATTATATTAAATTTGGGTAAAAACAAAATAGTTTTAATCGTGAAAAATTAAAAGTGTTAGCAGTATCGATTTAATTATAAATATCAATTGTAGTGATACCTTAAAAAATATGGAAAGAGATCAAAATAATACTATCATAGCACCTTTTCAAAGAAGTAATGAATGCTCCCTAGGGCACTATCAGTAGCAATATATGAATTACTATCAGGAACTACCACACCTATATCTCAACCACCATCTAACATAACATCTTATGTACAATCACGACAACTATATCTGAAAGATAGGAGGCAATATGACGAAAAAGAAAATGACACATATGCCTCTAATTATGAATAAAATATCCTATTTAGATATGTCAATGATGATGACGAAATATTACAGGAAACATTTTTCTTTGATAATGCAAATGAACTAGAGAGAGAAGGAACCCCAAGTAGAATACCTCGAAAAGTTACATTTAATACAAGTAATGATATGAGGTCTCTATCTCCTGTTAGGTAGAAAATGTTCAACAATTAGTAACCTTAATATTATCCAGTAATCAATCGTCAAGGCCATCAAATTTAAGGGTAATAACTCCATCAGTAGGAAATATAAATAGTGGATCATCATTGAAAAATCCTTACAATTTTTTCTAAGCAACTCAATATAGTTGTATATTTAACCTCTTAGCACCACTTGATCTTTTCTGAAATAGCAACCCATCTACAACCTTCAGTTTTACAACCGCAAATTGGCAACCAGTAAATAACTGTTGGTTTGAAAGTAACTCAAGTAATAGAGGAAATAATACAATAGAACATCAAAATGTAACTACCAAAGGAATCTCACAGTCAACAACGGTAGCCTAACTATATAATATGTGACTACCATCGAACTCCTGGGGGGTAGTTTTCAATTAACCAGCATAACAACTTCTCAGTCAGTACCTAGCAGTCAATCGTCAAATAATATAAACACCTCTCAGCTAATACTTACATCTCAACCAGTTATAGTACCAGTAGGAGGAAATAATGACAATGCTTACTTTCAAGTCATACAGGGACTAGCAGGATGGCTTCAAGGACAACAAACGAGAGAATAATAATTGGTAGATTTGCTAACATTTAGAGAAGAAAATCAGGATCCAGTAGAGTGCTTGAAGCTTTTAAATGAGCTTGTAAAGCAAACTGCATCAATACCACTCGAATGGTTGAAATAGTTCCCAGTTATTTGACAGGAACAGCACTGACATAGTTCTAACAACAATATATTACCAACTGGAATAGTAAGATCAATCCTGATACTTTCTTCATACCATTATTTGAACAACATTTCTGCAATGCATTTCGATAAAATCAATAGAAGCATCAGTTTAAACATAGGAAACAGAAATCAGGTGAAATGATTGAGAAATATGTGGCAGTAATAGGAGAATTATGGAAGCGAGTCGACCCACAGTATAGGCTAGCTGAGATGTATAGAGTTGCTGAATTTATTGAAGGGCTACGATCAGAATTTATGATACCAGTACAAACAGCAATGCCAACAACAGTAGATCAAGCAATCGAAAAGGCCAGAGCAGTAGAATTTGCATATTCTATTGGAATGGAACTATCTGCCTATTCATTAATGTCTAATTATTATAAGGAGGAATGGTACCAGCTCGTACAAGTATAGCAATACAACCTACATATATTATACAGCAGCCAGATATTGAGAGCACTATTAATCGCAAACTAAATGAAGGGTTACAAGCAATTATGGCAAACATTGGATAACAATAGTAATAACAACAACAGTATTAGCAACAACTACAACAACAGCTACACAAATATTTTAATTATAGAAAATTTAGACACTTGTTTAGAGATTGTAAAAGTAATCGACGTATGAATAATGACCAATCAAATATTGAATTCTTTAACTGTGGGAAGTATGGCTATTTCGCCAGGGATTGCAGGAGTACAAATAATAATAGAGGTCGAAACTTTCAAAATCATAATGATAACAACCGAAATCATAACCGCAGTAATAGTAGAAATAGGAATTATAGAAATAATAATAATAATAATTACAATAATAACAGTAATAATAATAATAATAACCATTAGCATTTAAACTAGAAGTCGCACCTCTTAGGGGTGAGTATGCGAACAAACTAAAGCCCCTAAAAGTGAAAGAAGAGAAAGAAGCAAAAGAGAATAGTCAAGGTAAAGCAAAAACAAAAGCAAGTTTAATAGAAGTACCTTATGTATATAGAGGAATGAATTTGAAAATGCGATTTGAAGGACTATATAAAAATAAATATAATCACTTCAGTTGTGGAGAATATGACCATTACAGTCATATTGTATGTACAAGTTGTAATAAGATTGCTAAAGAAATAGCAGCACGATGCAAATGTAAGAAAGTAAAATGGAAGGATTCACTAACTGATGAAAGGATTTTCAGTAAAAATCAGCCAATTAAACCAGTAGATCTTTAACAACAAGGAGAAGTCACTGTCAAAAAGGATCAAAGTATGTGTTAGGGATTTTATATGATGATAAAGGAATCTATCTTTCAAAATGAATTAACCCAAATAAGGAAATGTATAACTTATGGCAAACAGTCAGTGAGAAATTTGAACTAGAAGAATCATCGATAAGGGCTATAATTCGAGAAATTGATGAAGAAACTGGAATACAATTGGATGAAGATCGCTTGGAATACATTTTAAATGATCCTACATATAATTGTGACATATATAAAGTAAAGCTAAATAAAGAAATACCTCAACATAATGAACTTACCAAACATAGCGATTGGCAACATTTCGAGTTTGATGAATATTTACAAATGGTTGGTCTAAATAAACTAATACTAACGTATAATAAATATGGAGAACTTTTCATATCTAAATTAAAGGAACACATTATTACTAGTAATACAGCACGTGATGAACCT